TTCGTCTACGTTAAATAATATAGCAAAGAAAATTTTGTGTGTATAAGAATAATGGGGATATATTTTTTGGTTAGTAATGTTTCATCATTTCTGTTTGTTGATCTTTATTCTCTTTCGACCCTTAGAGAGAGAGAGAGCCGATTAGCCTCGCCATTGGCAAAGTCAGCGACGGCTACAACGACGAAATGAGGGTCACGCGTGTATAATCGATGCCGTACATGCAACGCCTACCCCCACCACTAATACCGTGCAATGCGACCTCCGCACGCTCGACCTTGACGACTTTGCACGGAGAAACGCGACGAAGTACCGAGATAACCCGACTCTTGCCGAATACCCTCTTCCGAATCGGAAGCGCTACCCTCGAGAGTTTCCATCTACTTTTCAGCATTTTTTTTCCACCTTTTTCACCCCCCCCCCCTCCTCTTCCTTTTCTATTTCTTTCCTTTTTTCTGTTTTTTTTTTTTTTTTTTATTTCTCCCTTTTCTTCCCTATACACTCGTGAATCCGTTTATACATCCCCATTATCGATTTTTTTTTCATTCTCCTCTTGTTTTCTTCTCATTTTCTTCCTCGGTTATTTATTTTTTCTATTTTCGTTTCTGCTTCTTCTTCTTCTTTTTTTTGTTTTTGTTTTTATTATTTTCGTTAACAAAAGTATCTTCTTCGTTTTTGGGGGATTTTTTTCTTTTTATTTCTTTTTTATTTTTTTTTTTTTTTAATAATATATTAAAAATAAATTAGAGGTCATTCGAAAAAATCGCTGAGATTTATGTAAATGAATAACCAGATAGAGGTTAAGTGTTAAAGTAGATAGTGCATTAAATGCTTTCACAATTTTTTTTTCTAATTCATTCATTTATGTTTCACTTATAAATAATAGAAATTATTATAATTATTATTATTACTACGTGAATAAAATGAGAAATGTTCTCTTGAACATTTATTTCACATTCGCGCTAACCAAATAATTTCATTATAAATACATATATAATATACGTTATTGAAATTCCGTAAATTTATCTCTCCTGTACAAAGAGGGAAGCCACGAAATGTTCGTTTTGAAAATTGCAAACAAAAGAAATTGATTTGTCAATCAATTTAATTAAATAAAATTTCGATGATAAATTAATAAACTTTTCTGATCATCTATTATCACATCAGAAACTAATAACAATATATTATTATATAATACGAATGATGTACATTTCAATTGAAAAAATTATTTATGTAAATTTCAACAACACATATACATACATCGATTAAATTTAGTTTGATGTTCATTGATTAAGTACGAACGTCACGTACGTGTTCCAAAAGCAAATGTGTTGCCGTTGAAGCTCTGAAATCTGTTATTTCGTCAAATAATTAGTTAGATCCTAAAATAACTTTTATACTTCCACATAAAGTATAAAAAAAGAAGGCACATATGATTACATACTTTAACTACGAAATATAAGAATTTACAAGAAGTGATTTGTTAAAGTATGAAATTGAAATTTGATCCGTAGATTAGTTCCAATAGAACAGCAAGTCTAACAGAACATTTGTTTTCAAACTACAAGAAGAGATAATAACCGGATAACTAAGAGCATTAGTGTAGAAAGAAAAGCAAACTTTAAAGATGGATCAAATTTCAATTTCTATGCTTTAACTGCTCTCGTCTTTCATGAATATATATATATATATATATATATATATTACCTAATTATTTTATGAAAGAAAAAAGAAATTAATTAATACGTGTATTTAAATTCTTTTTATATGGTCTTCCCCTAAAACGTGTAATCATTTCACGTATTATCTAGTTATTTCACGAATAGTACGTATTATTAAATTTAACAGTAAAATATACGCATAAATGCATATGCCAGTTACAGTGGCGATCGATTGCTCAGATACATTTAACCGACAAGCGAAATCGAAATTACAATTGATCCTATTAATTACAGGCGCTTTAGTTAAACCTCTCTCTCTGTTTCTGTTTCTGTCACCTTACTTCATACTCTCCTTCTCCCTCTCTCTCTCTCTCTCTCTCTCTGTCTTTGTGTCTCTACATTGTATATATTGAATAACGTTAATTAGCATGCATTTAGTTCGAGCTCTTTGACGAGTAATAGCCATGATGTAAACAACGATCGTATTGCAATGTAAAATCGTTGTTAATGTAATTATTTGTCGTATCGTAAAAAAAAGGACGATATAAAATACGATTAAATAAAAGAAAAATTATATAAATTTATAAATACTTGCATTGTTTCAAATATACATATTTTGCTTTGATAAAAACGTGTTGACGATACCGTCGTTCATGCGCGCGATCATGTGCATTCATTGATGCAGTTAAAGTATATAGATATATATATATGTACTTCTATATTCCTTGATGCAGCTACAAAATTTCAAACGGTTATCGGTAATACGTTAAACATTCTTACCGACGTATCATTATTCTGTTTTATCAATAACTCGATCGGTAATATTATAATGTCAATCGTATTTTTGCATTTGATGCAAATTTTGTAATTTAATACATGTAACATTATAATCATATTATTTTTCATCAATATTATTCGAGACACCATTTTATATGGTATAAAAAAATAAAACGTGAAAATAAACTCGACCGATAAATTAAATAACACTACAGATACTTCTAACTGAATCGAATCAAATTGAACTTAATTTCATATGATTAACCTTGTTATTCGATCATTGCAATCGTATTACTTAAAAAAAACAACAACAACAATTGAATAAATAATTTACTATTAAACGTAAATAAAAAAAAAATTATAAATTAAATTAAAGAAAAATTCATAATCACGTTAAGCCAATGCATAATAATTATCCGTATTAAAAGTAATCAAAAAACAACAAAGAATAAGATAAATACATGAAGAAATACTTGTTCAATTGTAATTACCATTAATTTCCGTTAAGTGGCGTTTCGATAACTGGATCGTAGACATCAACGGATATCTACCCTTACCCTAGCGTTCACTGCACCGCCAGAGGTCGTGTCGGTATTTAAATTGAGACAAAAAGAAAACAAAAGAGTAAGGGGAAGGGGGAAGGGTTGGTGGAGAAGTAAGTAGGAGAGGGGGAACAAGAGAAGGATAGAAGATTGGCGTATAAGTCGAGTAAAGCGTGTTCCGGCACGGCCAGTCTTAGGTCATACAAGAGATAGCACGGATCGTTTCGTTGATGGTTGTTGTTTATTCGGGTTTTTAATCTTTTTATTTTGAATCTAACGACATACTTTCCCTCTTTCTCTCTTACGTTTATAATATATTAGATACATCGACGCGATACTACAAGTGAGATAAATTAAATAATATATTGAGATGAGATAATAAAACAAAAAGGGAGACTGACTTTTGAGAAAATATTTGTTTGGTGGACAAAAATACAAACTTATAAAAAAAAAGGTATATTATTGAAGCAGTATAGGTTTATATAGATAATAAGATAGATAAAGAGAGAAAGAGAAGCAAGCCGGTAAATAGTTCTAATACTTGATAATCCGCGCCAAGAAGAAGAGAGTTATCGATCGACCGATTTGCGCGACCTCGGTGTCGGCATGCAACGTCAGAAGAGAACGGCTAATCGCCTTTACTTTACGACAATTCTACTCTGGTAAAAAGGAAAAGAAAGAAAGAAAGAGAAAGAGAGGGTTGGTGAGAGGGAGTAGTTAGGTTAGAAAAAGAAAGAAACAATCGTCGAGATTTACAAATAATATATATATATATATACGTTGAATTATAAAAAATAATTTATAGATTAGAAAGAAAGTGTGACAGATCAAGAAAAAGAAAAACAACATAGAGAGAAAGGAAGAGAGATAGAGAGAGAGAGAAAGGAAGAGATATATGTAGGTTAACTATGAGATGTAGCACATAGAGAAAGAGACAAAGAAAATAAAATAAAATAAAACGAAGTGCGAACAAAGTAATTTATCAACATACATCTAATCTAGTCTAATCTAATCTAATTTATTATCGTATAATACTTTTTTTCCTTCCTCAATAATATTTATTTTTATTTCAATATAAATACGTTAATAAAATACAATATATTTCTAAACAAATTAAAGCAAAATTGTCCACGCATGCGTATTCACTTCCTTTTCTCTCTCTCTTTCTCCCATTCTTTCTCTCCCACTCTCTCTCTCTCTCTCTCTTCTTTTATCTTTTCTTTTAATTATTTTATAATATAAGAATAATCGCAGTCAAGCGAGCGACCATTTAAAAACAAACCCGAGTTAGACGCGAGTGTGTATGTGGTGGTGTGTGCGTGTGTCGTTCATCAGTTCGTAATAATTCGGTTTGTTTCGTCCTTAAACGCGTTCACTTCGCGTTATTCTCTTAAACACCGAAGAAGCACGAAAGATTCCGATGGTAGTTCGCCAAAATCCGATGGCATCGCGCCATTGACGGTTAGCCGTCGTCGCGTCGTCGTTCGTTTTATCGAGTTAAACACAACACCCACGCACACATCGCATGTCATTTCACTCAATTGTTTTCATTTTTCTTCTACTCCTTTCTCTTTCTATATATTTATCTGTCTCTCTCTGTTTCTATCTTTCTTTCTCTTTTCTTCTTTTTCTCTCTCTCCTTTCTCAAACCTTTCTTTTTTATTCCATAACCTACAAATCTATTTCTGGAATACAATTATCATTGACGTGCGTAATTTATCTCTCAAACGTGCTATAATAAAAGTGAAAATTTAAGTTTTGCTTTCTATATTATATTTTTTTTTCTTTTCTTTCTCTCTCTCTCTCTCTCTCTCTCTCTCTCTCTTGTCAATCTTTTCTTGATTTTCTTTCTTTCTTTCTTTCTAATTTCATTTTGTGTAATTATTTCGGTATCCTATTTTTTACACATCGATTTCGCGTGTGTCTTCGCATTGTGATTACATTATTATTATTATTTATTTATTTTTTTTTTGTTTTTTCTTTTTCGTTTGTAAAACTCTTTTTGTAAACAAATAAAGAAAAAGAAATAGAAGAGGAAGAAGAGGAGCAAGAAGAAGAAGAAGAAATATAAAAAGAAGAAAGAAGAAGAAGGATATCATAGTGAATTGATACGAGATGACGGCAATGTTGGTGTCCGTCGCAGAATTGTCGAACATTTTTTCTGTCCTAGCTGTACTGATATGTTTCTGCGGGGTCTTCTTATTTATTATGAGGTAATTATTATCTTTAATATATATTTTAATGTTTCATTTAATAATATATTAATTTAATATAATGCTCAAACAAAACTAAAAATAAAATAATATCTTACTATATAGTAATATAATATATTATTACTATATATTCAAAAGTAACTAATCACATTATTTCATTTAAAAAAAGCATCGATAATAGCGCGTTAAAAGTATTAAAAAAAAAAAAAGAAAAAAAAACAAAGCATACCTTTCTCCAACTTTATTTTTTCCCCATTAACAAAAAAAAAAAAAAAAGAATTTGTTTGACGAACAATCACTCAGAATTAACATAAATATTAGTTAGTGACTTTTGGCCGAACATATGTTTCAACATCATTATATACATGGTCTCTCTTAGTTGTTTCTTTTTTTTTTTTTCCACAAAATTATACCAATACGTTTTAAAAGTAAATAATTAGAAATAAATGATATACAAATATGGGGAAAGAGAGAGAGAGAGAGAGAGAGTGGGGTTATTAAAAAGTTATTAAAAAAATATAATATAATACGACAATGAAATAATGTTTCGTCGAAACAGCATAAAAATTCAACGCCAATGTCTGTTTTAATATACACATTCGATTTTTATTTTTATTTCTGTTTTTTGTTTTTTTATTACAAGAAAGATTTAATTGCACAATCTTCTTTTTAGATTCTTTGTTTTTCTTACAAAAATATTGATTGGCGTTGTTAATATTAATGAATTCGATCAAATAGTTATTTAATATATTTTAAATGGTATTGTGTTTTGTTAAATGATATTTACTTACTAAAAAAAATATTAATATTGATCGTTCAAATATTCAAATGGAATTATCTTTATCAATTAACACTTAATTTTTATTATTATTATTATTATTATTATTATTATTATTATTAGTATTATTATTATACAAAATTGAAATTATGATAATAACTGGAAGACTCTTCTTAACATTTATGAATTTAATCAAAATTATTTAATATATTTTAAATGGTATTGCTTTTTGTTAAATGATATTTACTTACTAAAAAAATATTTCTATTGATCGTTCAAATATTCGAATAAAATTATCTTGATCAATCAACACTTAATTATTATTATTATTATTATTATTATTATTATTATTATTATTATTATTATTATTATTATTATTATTAGTAGTAGTATTATTATTATACAAAATGTAAATTACGATAATAACCGGAAGACTCTTCTTATTTTTTTGTTCCTTTTTATTTTATTTTATTTTATTTTTTTTTATTATTTTATTAAATATTTCCTCTCTTTTATGTTTTTATGTTCATATCGAATTGAATAATCCCGGAAGTATAATTGATTCCTTGTCATGCATAACAATTTTTATGCCTGACGTATGTCACTGACGAGAAATATAAATAAATCAAGATCTTGATTTTATTTTATTTTTTTCTTTTATTTTATTTTCTTTTCTTTTCTTTTCTTTTCCGTATCTTACGACATGTTTTATTTTTCTTTTCCGTAAGACAGAAGAAGAAGAAGAAGAGTAAAAAAAAAAAAGAACGTAAAACATAAATAAAAAAAAGGACAGATAATTATTACGTGTTTCTAATGCAATGAAATGAAGTAAAAGTTAAATTACAAGTCTGAGGTTGGTCACTGATCAATAATTTTCTATTTATATGTGTATACTTAGATCGGAATATTTTTTTTTTTTTTTTTTACTGTATAATTATATTATACAACGTTTAATAATATCATTGAACTCATTCAATATCCTAATTTCAAAATTGTACTTTGTAATTTTCCATTTGATCTCACATCATTATTGTAAATTATTATTTTGTCTTTTTATGTAAGTTTTACACTTATTTTTTTTTTGTTTTTCAATCATTGGTATTGTATTTTATCAATCAGCTGGTATTTTAATTTTCGTTTAAATTTCAATTTACCCTAATAGCAGAAAATATTGAAAAATATTGAATACACATGTATTTTAATATTAAAATAGACATTAATTCTCTTTTTAATATTAAAATACACATGTATTCAATATTTTTTTAATATTTTCTGCTATTAGGGTATTTTATAATTTCAATTATTTTCCAATTAATAAAAATATACGATTTTCAATTGATTTAAAATTGAATATTTAACATTGACGTTCATATAAAAATCCCTCTCAATAAATGATATATAATTATGTTGGTATATATACTTATGTTTTTGCACAGTATCATTATCTTTATGGTAATAAGAAAAAAAAAAAAAAGTGATGCATTTGTGATGCATTTGTGATGCAATGGTAGAAAAAAAAAAAATGCTACTCAATAGATCGAAACGCCAAGAGGTTTTAAATCATTCTCGATATGTTTGTTGCAAGACTGTAAATTTACTTTTGATGTTTCGAGTAAATTTTAGATATCCGTAAATACGATTAAATGAGATATCTCTTTGTGAAAAAAAAGAAAAATTAAATAACTTTTACGTACGTAATTCAAATTATTTTTAAGTGCCATTCTGTTCCACAACCTTTCTCCATTTTTATGAATAATAACAACAAAAATCGTCCTTCCAAAATTTCTCAGATTTTTCAACAACAAAAACTGTATATCACATCATCTACTAAGAATCAGCACGAACTTTCTGAACAACCCAATATAATATTGTTTTTTTTTTTGTACACTTTTTATTTTATTACCTGAAGGTTTTAGAAATGAATGCAAAAAGATGAAGCTTTAAATTAGGCAAAAGAAAAAAATTTGTTTTCTCTTTTTTTTTTCTTTCTTTTTTTCTTTTTGGTTTCGTCTTTCTATTTATATGAATGAGAATTGGATTTAAAAAAAAAGAAAAAAATGGAAAGTACTTAAATAAAATTGAAAGGATTTAATATTTTAGCAATGTAACTGTCATTTCTCTCTTTGACATATCGAAGATTTTCTCGAATGATGAAGTCACTTTCAAGTAGATTCGCTGGAACGTTTCTTGAAAGTAGGTAACTTGAAAGTGTCTTCTTCTTCTTCTTCTTCTTCTTTGTAGATACATATATGTGTATGTATATATACATACATATATTTGTAAATCATTAAAACACTTATATATTTACTAATTGTAAATAAGTACAAATTTCCCTATTTCTGTGATTTTGGTTTTTACACATAGGTCTAATATTTATTTTGTTAAAAAATTATTTTTTAAAATGTGTTTTAGTAAAACCTAAATTGTGTATATGTTTTTTTTGTTTTTTTGTTTAATAGAATCCTTTGTACAATTTGAATCAAATAAGTAATCTATTAACATTGTTGTATGTGAAATATAAAATTTGTTTATAACCCTTTGAGTGCTATAGACGCATATATGCGTTTTTGGTAAAAATTACTAGTTTAGTCGTTCGACACATATACACATAATACGTATTTTGTTAATATTAATGTAATGTAATGTAATGTAATATCTATATTATTATTTATTATTTTATTATTGTTTTATCATTATTATTATTATTATTATTATATATTAAATATTAATGTCTATATTAATTAAATTATATTTAGAAATAAAAACTTGAATTTATTATTAAAATCTACTTTTTCAGGTAAAAGTATTCAGCACTCAAAGGGTTAACAATTGATCACATTGGATTAAAAAAAGGAAACAAATATTATAGTTCAAATGATTAGAAATTTGATTAGATTTAAATTTCATTCGATTAAAAATAATACACAAATTGATATATATATATATATATATATACAAATCATACAATTAATTTCAATACATAATTATTATTACAATTAATTATTATTTACAATTGATTTTCATATTTTTCATTTATATGTATTATTATTCAAATATATATATATATTATAATTATTCCACTAAATATTTTCAATTATCTTACATACAATTAATTACATTGTTTTTTTTTTTAAATATAACGTTATAAAAATAATATAAATGAATAATCATGATAATAAAAACGTAACAAATGTATAATATATAACATCCGAGATCTTATTTTTTTTTTTTTTTTTGTTGCTGGCTATTAAAAAGTGACGTCTCTAATTGTAAATTATATTTTTTGTTTTATTTTGTTTTTTTCTCTCATAAATAAATCATAAGTCAATCAAATATATAGACATATATATATACAGATCAATACGATTGAATTCACTAATAAGCATTACATATATGTTAACATCTTACATACGTCAAAGAGTTGTTAGTTATTTAAATGTATATTTAATTGATACGATTTTGTAAATATTTAGAATATTATAATTTAAATATTTAATTATTTATCGTGAACTTTTTTTTTTTTAATTTATTTAGTTTCTGTTATTTAAAAATTTCTTTTTGCCTTTTGGTTTTTTTTTTTTTTTTTAAGAAACAAAAACAAGAGAACAGTTTTTAAAGTTGGTAAAAATGGTATAAATAAAAATTGGAAAATAAGAAAAAAAAAAAAACAGAAAAATTTAGTAACTATATTTATGATTGTAAAGTAATTGTATTTTTAATGTTTGCCAAGAATAAAAAGTAAAATTTATACTAGTGGTATATACATACATATATATATATATATATATAGGTATCAGGTGAGTCATATGAATATCTTAGCTACCTATTTTTTTTTTATGAGAGAGAATAGAATTTCTAAACGACGAATATATTTCACTGGTAGACTATTATAATGAATGGAAAAAAAAACAGAAAAAAAAAAGAACATTTTTATCTTAAGATGACATATATATTTTCTACAAAAAGTATGTCATCGACACATATCTTTCGTTTTTATTTAATTTTTTTTTTTTTTTTATTTTCTTTTTTTCTTTTTCTTTTTATTTTTCTTTTTTTGCTCTTTCGTGGAACTCACAATTTTGCTGCTTTCACAAATTATCATGAAGCATGTCAAGGGAAATGTAAATTGCTATAAATTTCTCCCATTGTAATTATTACAAATAGAAAAAAGAAAATTATGGTCTTACAAATTTCATAACTGTTAATGAACCTATACTTATGCTATTCTTTCTTCATAATATATCAAAAACTATAGATATATATACGATATAAATCTTGATGATAAATAATATAACATATATATAATTAAATACATATAATAAAATAATATTCAAAATGTCGGTTATTATTAATTAAATTATATTAATAATAAATTTTATAGAATCAAAAAAAATCTATTTATATAAAATATAATTATCTTTATGCAAAATAATATAAATTGTCTAATGAACAACAAAGTGTGTATAATATATAAAAATGAATAAATAATAAATACAATAGGAAAAAAACAAAATCACAATTCATATGAAATATAATTATCTTCATACAAAATAATATAAATTAATTAATAATAAATTATATAGAATAAAAAACAAAAACCAAATCTGTTCAATATAAAAAAAAAAAATATAATTATCTTTATGCAAAATAATATAAATTGTCTGATGAACAACAAAGTGTGTATAATATATAAAAATGAATAAATAATAAATACAATAGGACAAAACAAAATCACAATTCATTTGAAATATAATTTAAACGATTATTGTAAAAAAACAAAAATTTATATATGCATGTAAAGAAACAATTAACTAAACACTTCAAAAAAACTTATTTAAATTTTTCCAATGAAAAAAATAAGAAATGTGCATAGAAAAAGAAAAAAATTCGAAATAAAGTAATTACAACGTAAGAATAAGAAATATATATATATATATAAAAAAAAAGACCGTGAAAATAAAATGTGAACAATTACAAAAAAAAAACGTGTTGTTGCACGTAATTGAAACGATGATTTGATCGGTATCATTAAAGATAAGAAGGGAAGAACACTTATCCTGTTAAAATCCTAGAAAAGCTTTAACTCTCGTTTATACATATATTCCTCGTGTGCTTCACAACTACTTTCTAAAAAAGTCACGACGTCACAGAAACGAGAATTACTTTGGGTCATTGGCGTTGCTAAGCGTACATAGTTTAACAGCAGTTTTACGTAACTCCACTCCTCGGATGTTCATTCAAAATGTTCTCTGGTTAGATCAAGGAAAAGGAAATTCTGATTGTGTGTGAACGTTTGATTGATGTTTTAGTAAAGAAAAATTAACAAAAAAAACAACAACAACAAAAACAAGAAAAAAACAAACAAAAGAAAAAAAATTTAATAGGTCACAGAGAGTATTAAACATGGTGAAATGAAATTAAAGTTAATGGTTAATAAAAGAAAAAAAAAAAAAGAGAAAAAAATTTAACAAAAATTACAAAGGTCGATCGTGGTTTTTTTTTCTTTTTTTTTTTTTTTCTTTTTAAAGAACTAAAAAATTAAAGAGAAAAGATTTAATAAAAATTATAAAGGTCAATCAATCACATTGTGATTTTTTTTATTTTTGTTGAATACAATTTAATTATATTAAATAAATAAATAAATATATCATTAAGAAATTAACATCTTTCTATTTAATATAATAATTATGAAAAATAGATTATATTAAATAGAAAGATAATTTAATTTTGTAATACGTTGACAAAAGAAAAAAAAAAGCTGTATATTTTTGCGTGTGCGTGAAAATTTAAATAAAAAATGAAAATTAGCAGTAAATTTTTGAATCGACTTGTATATTTAAAAAAATATATATATATATATATACAAAAAGGAAAATGTTTATTGCACAATAAAAGGATTCTCAGTTAACACATTACGGTCACGCCTGTTTCCTTTAGGCATATCGTATCTCATCATAGTTCTTTTTTTATTATTTTTTTTTTATTTTTTACCTTGCACCTTTTGTTTACGCAATGTTCATTCCTATCTACGCAACATACACGCGAAATCATATTTTATATATATAGGTCATATTACTTGCGAATAGCGCAATTATCTTTTACACCTTTTCTTGTCTATATCTATATAGGCTGACTCATATCTAATAGTTTCTTTTTTTTTTTTGGTATAGTGATATTTTTTTTTCTCTTTCTTTTTTGTTTGTTTCATGATAAAAAAAAAAAAACATTTAAAAAAATGTTCACCGGAAATGTTATATCATTCATTAAATAATCTCATCTTTGTTTGCATAAATTGTCATAGTTTATATATTACTTTAAATCTGATAGATTTTTTTTAATCTTTTGACTAACACAAGATAAGTATATACATATATATAATACAGTTAGAGTCAAAGTCTTATATATATATATATATATATATAACATATTTAATAGTATTTGATTCACAACTTAAAATTAATTGAAGTATTATTCAATTAGTCACTGGTCGTGATGGGATAAATATTTTACTGCATCTAAAAAAAGAAATTAAAAAAGAAAAAAACAAAAAGTACAAACAAACAAGTCGAAGAAGAGATAATCTCGCTAACTTGTTATTAACATTGAAATCGTATAAATAAGTATTATGGACTTAAAATTTACCTTAGAAAATTTTAATATGTTAATCTATTCAGTCAAGTGTTATTTATTGCAAGCAGATAATAATCGTGATATAAGCAAGAGTACATTTATTAATATTTTTTATCAAATATTATTATCAAAATACTTCATCTTTTTTTTTCTTCTTCTTCCGCGCTATGACGTGTTAAATGGCTTTTATTATAACAAGTTGTTTTTGTTATTTTTTTCTGTTTTTTTTTTTTTTTTTTAATATAAAATATTAAGATAAAATTATCAACAACGATTATTAAATTTAAAACGGCATAGTCATTTTATTTAATTATATATATATATGTGAGCATATAGAAAAACATTTGTATTATTTGTATAATAATTATTAATAAATGAATTGTGTAATGTACCGTTGTTTGAAAATATGTGAATATAATATTTACATAATGATTTAAGTATAAACTAAAATAAAATAAAATAAAATAAAAAAACAAACAAAACATTCGTACAATTTTATATACCTAATATTATCTAAATTGTAACTCTATTATTTAATTAATACATATTATTAATAATATGTAATTAATACGTGTAATTAATGCATATTACTTATACTTATGTAATTAATACTGTATATATTAATAAATATTGTAACATAATTTTCATTGAAATTATTCAAAGTATATCCTACTTATGACTTGAATGCAAACTTCAAAAAATGATTTATCATAGATCTACTAATACGTTTAAAAATTATCGAGTGTTTTGTTTGAATGTGTCTAAAACATGAGATAAAACAAAAATAAATAAAAAGTAAACATGACAAAAAGTTCAAACAGGCCATTAAAATTAAAATAACATAAATTGCAATGGTAGAACAAGAAATGGTTACAATTTAGAAACGAGGTCATATCGAGCATATAATTATATTAACGTGTCTTTTTTTTTTAAACCTATTATATATATATATTAATATTATAATATAATTTAATATAATATATATTTTTTTAATATTATAAATAATATTTAATATATAGTATTAAATATTATAATTCAATTATACTAAATAATTAAATTTATTTCTAAAATATATTTTTTTTCTTCCTTTCTTTTTTTTTTTTGCTTAAATTTTCAATATTAAATTACAGATATTAATTTTATAATTTATTTGATAAAATGATATTTCTCATCTACAGATATTATTTTGTATTTTATTTGTAATAATTATATTATAACATAAATTAAAACAAAAAAAGTAGATATTTCATTTCATAATTTTAAGATGAAGATAATCTCGTTAGCTTAGTTAAACAAATATAAATAAAAAAAATTAGAAGATATGACTAATGTCGTTTAAAATAAGTACAATTCGTTGGTGCAGGAACATGATAGTGTTACGAGTTCATGGAGACGAGCTTCTGTTTGGCAGCAGGGGCAGCGTCATAACACATTCACCACGTATTCCACAAATGGAAATGATGAAGGTTCACATTCCCTTCACCTTCAAACTTCACGAAAGCTTCAAGAGCACCTATGCTGGTAAGTTCTTCAATTTTTACTTTTTATTATTTTTTTTTTTTTTGTACAAAAATCACTTTGATCTCATCTTAAGACTACTACTCATTCAAATGCAATTTGTATCTATGTAAAATACATTTAACATCTCATAATATTATCTCTTATGGTTGTATTTTTATTTATTTATTTATTTATTTATTATTTCAACACATTATACAGAGAATAATTTTATATATATAATTTATTTTTTAACCCTTTCGCTAATGGGCGACTTCACTTCCGCCGTGGGTATTTCGGCTGCGCCAAAAATGTGCACAGTGTTCGAATAAAATCGACAGTGGTCGTTGTGCCACTTTTATGCTTCATGGCAACCCGAATTAGTTGATTTGACGATGTTTATTGAAAAAAAAAACAAAACTCCACAAATATAAAATAATTATATAACATTTAAACATATTAACTTTTTATTCAACTCAATTTGAAGTTAACTTTAATCATTTGTAATATTATGTATTATATACAATGTACAATACGCGGCATTTTATGCATAGCGACTATAGTCGCCCGTAGTATGATGTGAGTGGCATTTTATATGTAAGAGTGCCTTCAGTTGCCCATAGTACACGTCAGTAGTAGCATTTTATGGAGAGCGACTATAGTCGCCCGTAGTACACGTCAGTAGTAGCATTTTATGGAGAGCGACTATAGTCGCTCGTAATGGCGAAAGGGTTAAATCTCATTCAAATCAGTCATTTATTAATTTAGTTCACAATTTCTATCTGGTTTAACCCTTTCGCTAGGGCACTCCCATCCGCCGAGTTACCAACCCTGAACGGCGATTCGCCAAACGTCATGGCGTGGATGCCGCATATATGCGGCGCTCGACGTGAAAGGGTTAATTAAAATATTTCACATTTTTTCTAATATCTCCCATCATTTTTATGGTTTTTTTTACCCCCCCTGCAATTATCTCATTTATTTCGTTAGATCCTCCTGTTTATATATCACTTTAAATATTCGTTCCTTAAAATGATTCATTCAACCTCCCCCCTCCTCCTCACACACACACATACACACACCTCACCCTCCGTCTCTATTCAAATTATATTTTAATATATAATCTTCTTTCACTTTTTTCTTATTTTTTTGGGGGGGGAGGGTTTTTTTTCTTTAAATTAAAATATAAAATTTCTATTCAAGATTGTAATCTCTTACATTCTATTTCGTAAGATATGCTCGTTAAAAAAAAAAAGAAGAAAAAAAACGAGTTACTTTTTCGCATAATTTCTTCTTCTTCTTTATATTCATCTTTCTCTTTTTTTTTTTTTTTTTAAGTCTTCATTCTGTTTTTTTTCTTAGACGTGTGTGTTTGTGCTTGTGTGTAAATTCACTTAAAAGTTAATCTCATAGGAGATTTCACATTCATGAACGCGCAGCAAGTAAACCCGGTGAAACGAGTACGTGCATTTAATATATTGTGTAATAATATTTTTCTACGACGAATTATTACTCAACAATTATAATTATTAACATTAAATATAATCTGTTTAACAAGATGAAGATTTTAATAATAATGTGTGTGTGTGTGTGTGTGTGTGTGTGTGTGTATCTCTTTGTGTATGTGTATGACAAATTACGAAGAAATTAATTTTAACATTTAATTCTGTTTATTACATTTTAATTAATTGATCAAATAACAGGTATTTAAATTAATTTATTATATATATAAATTAATTGATATTTATTTATTTATTTATTTATTTATTATAATTAACACTTAAAAAATCCTATTAAGTGATTGGCAAGATTTTAATAATGAATTTACTGGGTCCGTGAAATCAAAAAGTTCGGCGACCGCTGTTTTACATCATTTTTATTTTTTTATTTTTAATTATATCAATAATATATTCTTATTTTGAAATGTTGTTCCTGTTCTGAAATCAAATTAATAATCTCGTATTTTATATGTTCATCATTTTTTATGTTCTTGTATTATGAACATATCGATCATCAATCGTCCTCAATAAATACGGAAATGTATATAAATGATTGATGAAATAATATCAATATTTAAACTTCTCAATACATCATGTTTGTTAAATATAAGTTCATTATTTTTGATAATAATTATTATATATATA